TCTTCTTCTTCTTCTTCTTCTTCTTCTTCTTCTTCTTCTTCTTCTTCCTCTTCCTCCTCCTCCTCCTCCTCCTCTTCTCTCCCTCTCTTCTCTTTGAGACAGTGAGAGTATATATGTGAGCATTTGTACTTTGGCAGATGTGTGTGAGTTAGAGACAGCTTGTAGGCCTTGCTTTTTACTTCTATATCTGGTTCCAAGGAGTCAAATTCAGGTTATCATGCTTTATAGCAAGTGCCTTTATCCATTGAACCACCTCACTCAAAACTAACACATATTCTTATTTTTTTGAAAAATTATTGTGTGTGTATATATGATGTGTGTGTATGTATGAGTGCATGAGGTAGCATGTGTGTGGAGCTAAGAGGACAACTGTTCCAAGTTGGTTTTGTCCTTCCGTCTCTAAGGGGATTTTTGGGACCTAACCCAGGTCGCCAAGCTTGTGTGGCAAGTGCCTTTAAGCACTGAGCCATCTGGCCACAGATACATTAAAGGTTGCTTTTAAAGTCAAAAAGCAGATGTTCCAAGACCTTAGCTTAGCCAGACACCTCTAAAATTCAGAAAGTCCAGATGTTGAACAAAAACTTTCCAAGGAATCTAATGCTGCCATGCTTTAGGTATGTCACACATTTTTATGCTCTTTCTCTTGTTTTAAAAAAAATACATTTTCAGGTAGGAGAGAGAGGCAAGTGTGTCAATCTTGTTGGCAACACAGCTGCAGGACTTATCCCCCTGACTTTAGTACACAGCTCAATCATGAGGGGATGAAAGCTCAGTCCAACATAAGACACAGACCCAGCATACCCAGTCTTTCCACTTGGGTTGCCAGTTCATCTGTACTGCATTCAAATATCAGTCTGCTTTATGGGAGGTAGGGATAGGAATGAGGAAGCAGGAGATGAGAAACAACACTTGGTTCCTGCTTGAGGAGGGGTAGCAACACAATTTCTGCCAACGAAACCAAAGCTACCCATTTACCTGCTGCAAACCTCTTCTTGATGAGTGAAAACCGGTACCCTGCTCCAACAAGCTCGATGTCACAGCCAGACAGTGTGCTTCCTTCACTCGTGAACTGCACAACCAACGGGGAAGGTTTGCTTGGGCCTTCGGATAACTGAAATCTTGCCAGTAAAGAACCTACGCCTTTAAAAGAAGAGCATTATTGCAAGATAGAGATGGGCAGTGTCACTTTGCCCATAACTTTGAAATGGCATTTGAAATCAACTGTGCAAAACTGGACAGCCTAGCAAGCAGTATATTCTTCAATTACAAAATGTTGGTGAGTAAAAGCATCCTTGGGTATTATGAGTTGATGTGGGGTTCCCCTCTGTATGCTGCAAATTATTTTTTATTACCACTGGTTAATAAAGAAGCTATTTTGGTCAATGGCTTAGCAGAGTAAAGCCAGGTGGGAAATATATATATATATATATATATGTTTATGTATATACATACATATATATATATACATATGTGTGTGTGTGTGTGTGTGTGCGTGTGTGTGTGTATGGACAGAGAGTAGGCAGAGTCAAGGAGGAGTCATGTAGGTGCTAAAGGAGAAAGACACCGGAAAATCTTACAGCCTTATGGCGACACATAGATTAATAGAAATAGGCTAATTCAAGATATAAGAGCTAGACAATAAGAAGCCTAAACTATTGGCCAAGCAATATTATAATTAATATAGTTTCTGAGTAATTATTTGGGGGCTGAGTGACTGGGAAGCGAAAGAGTAGTCTCCGATTACAAATGGCACCAGCATGGGCAACTACATCCACATGGAAACTGAGAGAGCTTGGGAAGGGATTCTAGACACAAAAGAACAGAGTTAAACATAGCTTCTTGGTAGCTGCATTTTTTCCCCAGATAGATTCTGTTTGCTGGCAGCAAGCAGAAGCACGGTTCCTTTATTAAAAAAAGTCTTCCCGACTCTGTTAGTGGCAACAAATTGCATGGCTTTACTTTAAGAGATGACTTCTTGATACATGCTGTAGAACAAATTCTGCCTCTTTCAGGGGGTTCTGCACTTAAATGGGGTTTGTGAGAAGCGTGTTACAAATGACTTAATGGCAACATATACCCACTGTGTCCCTGGAGTTAGGGTGGAGTGCATGGCCCACAGAACTGGCAGTGAACATGCCTCAGCTATGTTGGACTGGGCAGAACAAACAGGCAGGGCTGTGGAGTTGGTCCTAGCCATACTCAGTTAGCATTTTTAAAAAAAGCACCCCTAGTCAGAAAATGATTACAAATATGCAATAAAGACAGATTCAGATGGAAATAGACTTCTAAATAGGTCTTAGTGTGTTAAAAAAAATGTATGTAGGCTTGGGAGAGAGAGGAAAAGGAGTACAGTTATAAAAAGAAAGCAAAGTCTTTTAAAGTAAAAGTGATATGAAAAAGTACAGACAGTCATAGATTAAAGGAGTAAAGAAAAATAAGCCACGTAAAGATAAAAATACACAGAGAGTCTGGGTTTTACATATTATTGTGTTTTCTTTGAATTTTTCGACCGTAGGGAGACATTTGATTCAAGGGGATGCTAAGATAAACCAACATAAAGGTATCTTGACTTCAAAATTTGAGTCTAAGGATATGTTATTTTGGAAAAGAGGCTCTGCTTTTGATTCCACAGAAGATGAGGACCTGTGGATTCCTTCCAGACTAATGTTATTTGATGGAACAAGACCCCCTGAAATGTCTCCATGAACCCCTAAAACCATTTCACCCAACAAACAGCGGGAAGCAGTTTGGAGAGATCAACTCCCAAATTCCTAAAATAACTGTTTATGAATGTTTATTTTCATTTAAAGGGGGTTGGTTATAAATGGTTAAATGGTTACAGTTAATGTCTTTCTAAAAAAAAAGGGGGGGGAGCTATGATATAGAGATGAATACTTTACATTGGTATGGATTCTGGTCTATTAATACACATTTAAGGTTGATTTTGTTATACTGTGTATATGTATATTTCTACTCTTCTTTAAGGTATCATGCTCATCCAGCTAATTTAAAATATAATATATATTAAGAAATACAGGTTAATAGATAGTCATCTATAATAATTAAATTTCAGTTCATGTTAGTTAGGTTTTCTAGATGTACAGAAATATATTTCAGATGAATAGGTATTCTTCAAATCTTTCAAAGATATACATAACATGGAATTTAAAATGTTTTAAGAACTTAGACTTTTCTCAACAGTGAGACAGGTCTGCTTCTGGCAGCATCAATTACTTCAGAGAGGTTGATGGACATTAAAGAAAATCCTTATGGAATTTGCCTTCAATGTGACAAGGCTAGCCATTTGGGCAAGAAACTGCTCTTGCCTGGACTGCTTGATGGTATTCTGTATGAACTGGACATGCAGGACCCACAGAAAAGTGACTGTTGAATTTTCCAAAAGATGGGATGGTCCTTCAGGGTTCCTGCTTCACAGAAGAAACTGCCAGACATTCTGCAGGGCACAGAAGAAAGCAAGTGATGAACTTTGCCATTACAAGGCAGAACAGATCTTCAAATTTCCTGCTTCATAGAAAAGTCTGCCAGATACTATGGGCCTGTAGGCTGAAGATGGATGCCCCAATATTACAGAAGAACTCTGGGTGACTGTGCAGGCAGCAATATGTCTCTGTCAATTCTAGAGTTTTGGAAGTTGCTTACAATGCAAATCCTGTTTGTTTAGGTAATTTTACATCTTTTTGGGGTCTTCGATGGAGTTGAAGATTAGATAATTACAGTTTTTCTTAGTTATGATAAAAGATAAATTAGGTATAAAACTTTAGATTCACAAAGATAGGATAGATGACTAAATATTGTAACTGTAATTCTTGCTTGATACCTATTTTGTTATGTGAAATTTTATATAAAAGATAAATTAGGTATAAAACTTTAGATTCACAAAGATAGGATAGATGACTAAATATTGTAACTGTAATTTTTGCTTGATACCTATTTTTATTTTTACTATGTTAAAGTTAAAACCTTCCTTTTTAATTAGACAGAAAAGGGGAGATGATGTGGGATCCCCCTCCATGCTGTTTTATTACCATTGGTTAATAAAAAAGCTATTTCGGCTAATGGCTTAGCAGAGTAAAGCCAGATAGGAAATCCAAACAGAGATATATAGAGAGAGTAGGAGGAATCAACAAGACACCATGTAGCTGCCAAAGGAGATGCTGGAAAACCTTACCAGTAGGCCACAGCATCATGGAGATGCATAGATTAACAGAAATGGGTTGATTTAAGATGTAAGAGTTAGTTAATAAGAAACCTGAATTTTTGGCCAAACAGTGTTATAATTAATATATATTATTTAATATATAATTATATTTAATTATAATTATAATATAATTATATTAATATAATATATATTAATATAAAAACTATAATATAGTTTTCATGTGATTATTTGTGTCTGAGCAGCAGGTAAACGAACAAGCAGTCTCTGCCTACAATGAGTGACTGGTTGAAATAGGTCAGTAGAATGGTACTTTAAATTTTGCGACATGCCCAAAGAATGGTTCTATCCTTTTTATCTCGTGATTAACATGAGAGGAAATAAGACATCTACATAGACTCTGACACAGGGTAGACACATGTCTCCTGAAGGGCTCTTCTCTGCCACAAGGACAGTCTATGTCAGGTGAGGTCTTGGTGGAACACCAAAGAGGAAGGTTCACAAAAAGCCACTTGCTTTCATGGATGTTAATAACTAAACAAAAGTTCTGCTTGCTTCTAGGACTACAAGGATTTGGGTTCATAGTTGGCCGACACCTGTAGGTTATCTCAGATTTAAGCCTGTGATTACATTACCTCCATTTTCTGACTTCTGGGAGATATCAGGAATTTTCCATAATATTCTTTGTTGCTCAGCATTCCTAAGAATAAAACAAACGGCTTTTTTTTTTTTACATACCAAGGAGAGGCGACATTTCCAGATAGTGTTAATTAAAATAAAATGGGCCTCAAGATGTGTAGCTCTTCCTAACTACATATATACCCCTACATACATAAGTGTTCTTCCTTCTCCTTATCTAACCAGCCACTGAAATGTGAGAAAAATAGTTAGGGAGTAATACAGTATTTAGAACTCATCTACCCAGAAAATAGATACAAAGTATTTGTTAATCACTTATCTTAGGCAATTTCCATTGTAGTCACTGGTTAGCTCACATTAATTTTAAATAAGTATTCTTTATTTTGCTGTTGCTAGTGGAAAGACTGGTCCCCAACTCCTGCCCCCACTCCCCCCACCCCCAGATTTGCTGAGGTCCCTTCCCACAGGAAAAACCCTGGTGCTAAAACTCTGCAGTACCTTAACCAGAAGAAGCCCTTTTAAGGAGCAGAGAGGGAGGAAGTTTTTCTTTTGTTTTTGTTTTTACCAGACCGCTGGAGGAAGCACAGCCTGGAGCTTGGTCACTCCTCCGTCTATGGGGACCAGGAACTGCACGTTGTTAAGGGCCACTGCGGTGGTCATGGCGTCCGTGTTGTACTTATAATCTATGCGCAGGTCAGTACTCGCAGGCTCACATCGCCAGTTCACTGCCAAGTTCAGAGGTGTGGACTGAATGCCCTGGGCAGACACCTTTACCCAAAGGATAGAAGAGAGAAGGTGTGTGTTTCAGCTGTCAATCAAACCAAATCAGAGACCGTGATTGGCTCCCACTGAACCGGGCGTATAAACCCGCATGCTGTACTATATTCTTTGTGCTATTTCCATGGTTCCAGGGTAAACTGCTGAAGTTCAGGCTCAGGGTGGGAGTGCTGTGTCCTTGAGGAAACTATTAAGGTTACAATCACATATACTATACAAGGTCAGCTGTGGAAACCCCTACATCACTTCAGAGTCCACAGTGCGTTTTCCGTCCTGAGGGAGGCGAGGCAGTATATTGGTTCAAGGCTGAGGCCGGGAGACTGGACACTCTTGGGTGTGAGTTCTTGTCCCGCCACTTCTAGACAAGTGAAGTGTAACCTCACTCAACCTCGGCTACTTTCTCACCTGCTAAACGGGGATGACAAAAAACAGCGAGACTCCTAAGTTGCCAGGAAGGTTCGAGGAGAAACAGCACCGTGTCTAGCTTATAGCTAGAAAGTGACTCCCGAACAGGCTAACTACTAATATGCGTGCCATGTTTGCTCTTCACGACAAACCAATCAGGGAGACGATGTTGGACACTGTCCTTATTCCTTTGAGGTTTGTCAACATCAGGACCTGAATCCAGATCCTCTGCTTCGAAGAGCTACAGAGTTTGCAGTCTGGTTGGAGTCAATAGTGAACGAGCTAGGACAAGAAAAGGTCAGGTTTGACTGTGATTAAGAAACAAGATATTTTCTTAAGACGGTGATATCTGTTTGAGTTCCTGGTCTGCAGTGTAGAATTCACTTCCTTACTCCCTCAGCACCTGTCAATTGCTAATAGCTCTCTGGCTAGGACTTGGACCCTGTGGGTCCCTCATTGAATTGCTTACTAGCAAAGGTTTCATTAGAACTATTTCATGAAGCTGTCACAGTAGAAAAAAATCCAGGTCATTTATACCCAATCACTTCAAATTAAAAGTATTAGAACACTTGTGATCTGACCATGAGTATGCTGATCTGACTAATTAATAATGTATCATATTTAAAAAAGATTTATTTATTATTTGTATGTATATATGTATGTGTTTGTGTGAATTTATGTACACCACATGCAGGCAGGATCCAGCAGAGGTCAAAAGATGGCCTCGGGTCCCCTGGAACTGGACTTATGAGTCACCATAGAGTTACAAGTCACAACGCGGGGACTGGAAAATGAAGTCATGTCTTCTGCAAGAGCAATAAGTGCTTTCGACAGCTTTTAACCTCTAACATATTTTTCCAGCTTTAACACTTACAATCTCCCTCCCCTCCCCCATCTGTAGCTAGCAGTTAAAAGGATCGTCCGCGATGGGCAGGCGGCCCCAGTTATGGGCTAGCAATGATATGGTGCTGCAGCATAACCCAGGCGCCACGTGGCGCCGGGGGCTCAAAGGCAGCGCGTTAACACTTACAATCTTGATTAAGTGTGCATGTGTGTTTTCAAGTTCATTTTTAGGGGGCATGTTTCTATAATTTAAAGCTAAAACACCTCACTTTGCATTTATGGGTATTTGATTAATATTCTCATTAGTCCCTACATGGTTCTTTAAGGCTTAAGGTTTTTATAACTACAGTACTTCAATAATATTAAAAAATGTTGCTTTTATAAAATAGTAGGCACTTTAGAATGTAAAATTGTAATGTGAAATAGGATAACCCTGACTATACCATACGCTTACCTGGTATTTGAGCATGTCCACATTATAATAAGTAGCTTGGGGTTTTTGTTCAGAGACTTTCTTTAGGTGAGTCATCAAATTTGGCATGTTTACCCAGAATTCCTTGGTATTGGCATCATTTTGTGTATTATCACTGTGAAGATTGAAAGAAAAATCAGTGATTAAGTAGCATCTTACTGACACCATCATCTGTACAAGAAGCATTTGAGAAGATGCTGTCTGATTTCTCCATCTCCTTTGACAATCCAAACTCTTGAGAGCATCCCCAGGGTGGTTTTAACACAGTGTGGTGTCCCATAAGCCTCCCAGTTCCCACAGGAGTCTCTGTTCTGCGGCCAAACACTCCCATGAGCTCCAGTCTACTAACCCAGCCAAATAATAACGGGGTGCTTTGAAGTGATAACTAGTTCCTCATCCATACTCAGTAGCTCCCCCTCCATTTTCTCACTTCTCCCTAATCAGCCACTGCAATTGAGGGGGAGTAAATAGATTTTCCTTTGAACTGACTTGTAATGATTTTCAGAAATTAACCAGTTAAAAGACTCAGAGGCACACACTCGTAATCCTAGCTTGGAGTAGGCCAAGGCAAGAGGATCACAAGTTCAAAGCCAGCCTCAGGTACACCGTGAGAGAGCTTATCCTGAAATGAAAATAAAACAGAACAAAAATGAAAAGATTTGGCTTAATTAACTGAAAAGGATGTAGCCACCACCACCACCATGCTCCTTTGTCAACACTCACAACTGCATCCAAGAGCATCTAAATAAAAACCTCAATTCACAAACAAGATGGCCTTGGAGTTTATGGTGGTAGTCACAGTTTCTTATAGTAGGACAGCAGAGTCTTGGATCTCTAAAAAGCTTCGCATCCCTGATAGCTAGTGCCAGCAGTCTGTTTAAGGACCACTCGCCTGATCTACATTGCAGCTGCTTCTTCATTCATGATGAAGGGCCAGCCGGGTGACATGCCCTCTGGATGGCGCTATCTCATGGCGACAGGGTGGCGAATGAACAAACAAATAGATCGAAAAATTTTAATGAAAAGAATGGCGAGTTTCCAAGAGAATGACAATGAGACATAATTGACTTTGGAGATGGTCAGTGCGGCTGGAGAGGGCAGGGGATGGACAGGGGAGACAGAGGAGCTGAGAGCCATAGGAAGAAGGGAAGGGTAGTATTACAAGATGGGGAAGTTCATGCCAAGCCCTGATGTGGGGCAGGACTTCACTCATTTTTGATAGGTAGGGATTGATGAGGAGAACAGACACATAGATTTGGATAGACGCTCAAAATCAACAGCAACAAGTTGAGATTCTGGGACATGTGTCATGTGATGCCACTGGTCAGTTGTGAGCAAAGAGGAGTCTTCTCAAGGTCAGGGGCTGTAAAAACGTGCTGGAGCAGGGCCAGATTGGAGCCAGGGAGAGAAACGATTGTTACTGCGACAGTCTGGGGACATAGTGTTGGGACTAACTCAAGGAAACATGCTGAAAAGGAAGAGTGTGGGCACTTTAGAGAGAACCTTCTAGACAGAATACCCACACTTTGTGATGAAGCAGAAGCTGTCAATAACGAGTCCTTTTGTCACACCCACCGTAAGCCAACAACACATGCACATACACAGCTAATAAAGACATCATTTCAGAGTTGAAATGAGAAAGTGTGCATTTATGGAAACATGCACATGACCATGTGAGCCTTCCATGACCTTCCCTGGTGTGAGCTGTGCCAACAATGACCATTTTAGTAAAATTATGGGCTTCACTGAAAGGGTTTGCAAATTTATATGGAAAAATAGCTAGCCCACAGTTCCCATATTATTTCACTTAAAATGGTGTTCATATCATAAGAAAATTTTCTATTATTTGGCTCATCACTTACTGTTCTTCTTTACTGTTTATTAGTAACAAGTGAAACAGGCATGCCTACGTTGTCCCCAATACGGACTTTCCTTAAATGCCTCTTTAACCCCTTTAGAAGTTGGCCACTAAAACACACAAATGCATACGAAATTAGATATTCACACACGGCACAACACACAGAAAACTTGACGGCTAGCACACAAACCCGATGTCTGGGTGTCAAATCTATGTGCACATCTGCACTGGGGGAACCAGCCACAGAGCTATTCTTGTGATGGAACTCTCTTTATGCAAGACACAGGGCACTAAGCTAATCATCTCTGTAAGATTGTATGCAGAATCATATTTACCAGCAGAGAAGTTGGGGGTTCGGCAGGACGTGCTCTAACCTGCTGGAATTTATCACCCGAAAAGTCAGAGCGGCTGGGGAGGGGTTGTTGGCAAAGTGTCTGGTGATGCCGGCGGGGAAGGACAAGACCATCTCTCCCGTGATCTTGACAATGCACCTGGAACACCAAGCACATGAGAGAAAAGAGAAGAGACGGGGTGAGTGTGCGGGATGCTGGCAGTGGAGGAATAGACGAGGCCTGAGTGACAACGTACAACACCTGGAGTTAAAGACAAAACAGCTACAACTATGCTCCCAACCACCAAGTCATTTCTAGCTCACCTGTGGATTTGAGAACTCCTTTTGGTTTTTAAGGAGCTTTAGTTGTAAGGAAATACATGTTTCTAGAATGGGTGGCAATTTCCAGAACTAGAAGTTTGAATTTATCATTTTGACTATCTGTTTTGGGGAGTAACAAGTACCCCTCTACTAAAGAAAAATCATAAAGAAAAAGCTGGCCTAAAATGAATTGATCGTGTGTGGGTGCCTGTGCATGCCTTGTGGGCACTCAGAGAACAACTTCGGGGAGTGGGTTCTCTCCTTCCACCATGTGGGGCCTAGGGATGGAGCTCAGTCAGGTCATCCATCTTGGAGGCAAGAGCCTTTACCAGTTAAGACACCTTGCTGGCCCCAAAGTGGTTGGCTATTTTGTTGAACGTGTTTTGGAGTGTGGAAGAGCAGTACAAAGAATATTGGTGAGCTTCACAAACCGAACCATTTAGTCTTGTGTTTTTGCTTGTTTGGAGATAATCACCTGCATTTTATCATTATACCTCACTGGGGCTTACTTCAGTTCTTTGAATAGTGTGACCAGTGTCTTTTCTGTTCTCCAAGATAAAGTTCCTACATCTTAATTTATTAGTCCTTTAGTCCATTATTTTGACTATTTTGTCACAATTAAATTAGTCATAGAAATTAAAACACGGTAAGATGATAGTTTAGAAGAATCATCATTTTTTCAAGGCTTCATGGAGGTATGAATATGATAAAGTGTAGCTACTTTTAAATTCTACACATTTGTATGCTATAAAATCAATACATAACCAAGCCCCATGTTTCCATTGTCCCCAAGCACGTCTTTCTGCCTTTCTGGAATCCCTTCGGCCCGGTTTTACAGTCCTCGACCCTAGGTACCTGCTATGTGCTTTTATTACTCTGCAGTGTGCTGCACTTCCTACAATATAATCTAACAGGTGTGTGCTTGGGGGCGGGGTCAGACTTTGTTCCCTGGAAGAATTATCTACAGATTTGTCCCCGTAGCTCCATGCATCACTGGTCCATTTACCTCTAGTTTGAGGAATGGATATATCATTTTCTGAAAGAAGAAACCAATACAGCCACTAAGGGATATGAGAGTCCTTTCCAGCCTTCATCTGTTACAAAGATGTGATCAACGTATGCGAATAGGTCTTTGAGTGGGCGTGGCTCTAATTCTTTCTTGCTAGGTCTGAGGGATCACTGGGTCACATGTTGGGGATATCTTTCACTTTTTGTTTGTTTGTTTGTTTTTTGAAACAGGGTTTCTCTGTGTCGCTCTGGAGCCTGTCCTGGCACCAGCTCTGTAAACCAGGTTGGCCTTGATCTCACAGAGATACCCTTGCCTTTGCAACCCGAGTGCTGGGCTTAAAGGCGTGCATCACCTCCTCCCGGCACCTTTCTCTTTTAATGAACCAGCTCAGCTGTCTTTGTTTCTTTCTCTGCCATGACCCTCTCTCTCTGTTTCCTTATTCTTTCTTTTCCTCCTTCCTCCCCTCTCTTTTTCCTTTCTTCTTTTCTCCCCAAGTGTTTTCTAAAATGGAAAGTACAGCTGTGTGAATCTCTCAGCATTTCCACAGCCTCCCCAGCACTGAGCAGAATCCATCTTAACTTTAACTATTTGGTGAGCAGTGCAGTCTCATTTTAACTTGACTTTAAAGACTGTCTAAGGATCTTAAGATCTTTTAAAAAGTTTAATTAATCCACTATTAATTGTGTGTGTGTGTGTGTGTGTGTGTGTGTGTGTGTGTGTGTGTGTGTCTGAACCCGAGTGATCATACTATGGAGTATGGAGCCCCTAAGCATGTGGCGGTTGAGGACAACTTTCAGGAGTTGGTTCTGTTCTCTCACCACACGGTTTTCTGGGAGATGGGGCTCGGATGACCAGGTTTGGCAAAAATGGCTTTACTGTAGCTCCCAACTTTGTTCTTTTGCAAAGCTGTTTCAGGACTGGGTCCAAACAGAATACAGAACCACAGCATCAATTTCAGCATAAACTATATTTCCAAGCTTTCAATTCCAACCCACTCCCTACTTCCTACTCTCGAAGACTTATGTATGTATGTATGTATGTATATACATATATTTCTTTTGCTTACAGCACCAGGTAAAGTTTGTCAGTAGAGGGCGCTGAAGAGACAGTGGAAGGAGGAGCTTATCTAATAGTCCCCATACTCACAAAATAAAAATTTAAAATTTTTGTACTTATAGATCACTAAATTCCATGTTTGTTGGATGTGGTTTTCTTTCTCAAGGAAAACATTTTTGACCTTAGTGACTGTTCCTCTCAGCATTTGATGTGAATGTCAGTGTGTCATGTGAACCTGGCCTTTGAAAACTTATAATAATGTGAAATGGAATTAAAAATCAATTTCTGAATAAAGCCTGGAGCCATGTAAATCCTCTCAAATGAAGCATTTATTAAGAAGGAAGACATTTCCAAGTCAAGAGGCCTGTGACTTACAAATTGGGTCCTCCCTTTGTCACAGGCAGCCATGGCTTCTCTAGCTGGGCTACAGAATCGGCAGCCAGTTCTCGGCAGGAGCTGTGTGAATCTGAACTGGTGGAGGGCACGAGAAGAACATTTCTCCCACGTGACCGTACTGTGCTGTGGGTACCAAGCACACGGCCTTTTTGTGAGCCTTCTCTGAGTGCAGGAGCTTGGGCTGCTTAATCAACCTACTTGGGATTATGTACTATGAAAAATCTTCCCCCATTACAGCCCTTTCTTTCCTAGCCTCATCATTCAGCCTCCTTACTTTGCCCGCCTCCCCCTTTTAAAGGAAATTGTGTGGTCAAAATATTAAGGACTTCTCGTCTTCCACTGCATTCTATTTACATCTCTTCCATCAGACTTTAGGTTATTTTCATATACAAGTATTATTTCCCATCCCAGATGTCTCTGCCTGTGCACCTCATGTCTAGTACAATGGTCAGTGCAGAGTAACAGTCTGTATCTCTTGGGTCCCTCACTTAGGCTTCCTTCTGTTTATTGCTGGAATGCAGGCCCAGAATTACATCAGTGGATACATTTGGCAGTAATGTGGTGCGGGTGTTTGGTGTGCCGGGTGAATTAACAATTCCTGTCAGTGGTTTGGAGTCAGGATTCCCTTTGTTACTGAGTGTGGAAAGCTGTGTACCTCTCTGTGAGAAAAAAATGCACAGATAAGATGTGGTCGTGTCTTTAACGCCAGCACATGGAAAGAAGAGGCAGGCAGATCAATGTGAGTTCAAAGCCAGTTTGCTCTACATAGCTAGTTCCAGACCAGCCAGGGCTACATATTGAGACTGTCTTAAAACAATGAAAAAAAAGACAATATGATTTCAGAGAATTTGTAGAATGTATGGATCTGATCCACAGAACTCTTTCTCAGCAGGTAGGATGGTTATGTTTAGAGTGTCCCCCCAACCCCTCCCACTAGACAGGACAGGTTTTCAAGAGGATAGGGGTTCTTATACCACCCAGGCTTACTTGCTCGGGTCTGCTCCTTTGAAGTAGGCATTGACGGTTTCTGTGAATGCTGCAGCAACTGGGAGGGTGTCCTGAGCCCCCATAGTCAGAGGACTGGGTCCCCTGGAAGAACCTGTAGGAGATGAAATGCTTCCATTTATTTGGGACTTACGTAAAAGGCACGGGCACATTGAATATGAGCTCGCTAAAGGACTGGGGGGCAGGGCCTTTTACTAAAAACACCACGATCACACAGTAGCTGTGTGTTCAACACAAGCACAAGTATTTAAAAGGAAATATTTGGCCGGTTTATAGACAAACACACTTGACATCGATTCAGCTACTTGGCTATGGGAGAAAAATCCAAGCAAAGCACGAAGCCATAAGGATTTCCACACGTCCTGCATAAAGCATGAGGCAGTATTTGCATGACAGTTTGTGCTTGTGCTCCAGGTGGTTAAAGGAGAGAAGTTTCCTATTTCCCCGCTACAGCCTTCCACCCAATCAGTTAAGTATTCAGCTTGAAAACCTGCATTCCTTCATTTGGAAGAGATGAGTCACGTGGTGTCACATAGCTCATGGTCCTTTTCTGCGTAGCCCAGTTGCTCACGGTTTCAACAAGGTCAAGCTCCTTGCCTAAAACAAAGGCTACCAAAGCTACGCTGTTGACTTGGCACAGACAAAAGAAGGCGCTGCTGACTATTGACTATCTCTGGGTTCATTGCACACCTACTGTGTGCCAGCAGAGGCAAGGCATACCTCCCGCGAGGTGCTTCACCCTACTTGCCCCTCAGCCTGCGGAATAGTCCGGGAGAGTCACATTGTACAGAAGAGGAAGCCAAAGTTTGAAGGGCCGTATCCAAGATGATACATTTATTGAAGCAGTAGAAACAAGAATCCAAATCTAGATTTGCTTTCCTGTAAAGCCTGTATTTTTATTATCATACTGCGTGGTTTGTCTGCAAGCAAGACTTCACTACAAAGAGTTGCTGAAACATGGAACTTCAGAAACATAGAGTTTAATTTGCTGCTTTGGTTCTTAGTTTCTAGGCTTGGTACTGAACATGGTATCTATGTTCCATGCTTGCTGCATCACCTTTCTACCAAACAAAGATGTTTATTCCTCTTCTCTTCTGGCATACGTTACATGCATTTGGGGTAACTCATCCTTTATATGTCTTCCTCCTCAACATAACCTTTCCTGCTCATTTCAGTTCATCACACTACCCTACCCCCAGCTTTTTCTATCTTAATTCAGTTCTTACTATCTTGTACCTGGTAATAGGACTTGGTAATAGGTCGTCAATTTTTTTAATTTTATTTATACTTTATATACGAGTCCTCTGCATGTACACCTGACATGTATGTCAGAAGAGAGCATCAGATTCTATTATAGATGGTTGTGAGCCACCATGTGATGGCTGGGATTGAACTCAGGACCTCTTGAAGAGCAGCCAGTGTGCTTAACCACTGAGCCATCTCTCCAACCCGTGTAGGCCATCATCTTTAATATCTCTTTGTTAGTATCATGTATCATGCCCTAGTGTAGATGTTGAGGATGCTCAAGATGAGTTAGACATGGTCTCTGTCCCCTGTGCAGTTAGTTATTGCTGTTCTCATACTCAACAGCATCACCACCACCACCATTACCATTCACACCAGCACTGACCTCTGACATCATTGTTTTCTCACCATTAGTATGTGCCCTACGTAAGTAATAAGCATGGTATTCATTTATCAGACCACCTTTGTGTTACACGCATGACTTCCAGTCTGCAGCGCTGCTAGGAGGTGGTGGAATAGCTAGGATATGGGGATCACATGGAAAGAATTTAGGACTTAGGCAGTACGCTTTTGAAAGAGATACGGAGACTTTAACCCTTTCCTGTATAACTCTTTGCTCTCTGGTCCCCATGAGGGGGGCATGTCTCCTCTATTACATACACATTTCTGACATGATATACTTACTCTATCACCATAGTCCTAGAGCACAGGGCTAAGGACCTGTGACTCCAAATTAAACTTTTCTTCCTTTTAAGTTGAATATCTTTTTAAAAATTTGATTTTTATGTCATTGGTGTTTTGCCTGCCTGCATGCCTGTGTGAGGGTGTCTGAACCCCTGCAGCTGGAGTTTCAGACATTTGTGAGCATCCATGTGGGAGTTGGGAATTGTGCTTTTAACCACTGAGCCATCTCTCCAGCCCCTGAGCTGAATACCTTAAACGCTTGGTCACAGTAACAGTAACTGATCGACACAGGACTCAGAGTCAAAGAATATTAAAAATATCAAGTATCAAAAAGTATTCTTGCTCAGTCTTGCCTCGCTGATAACCAAGAATTTTAAGATTGATACTGAAGAATGTGTGAGTTCAAAATTTAGGTTCTGAGGACTATATTATTTTGTTTCCTTAGTGGGTAATTAGGGGACCATATTGGGCAAGAAAACAATTGAGGTCAATTGGAGTGTGCATAACTTTATGCTGGTTTTTAAAGGAAGGAATTAGGAATAAGTCATTTTTGTGTAGTTCCGCATTTTCTCAAACAGAACTAAGGTTATACCAGCCTTTCCTTAGGAACCTGTTAGTCCAAGAAGGCGATGTTTACACACACTTGTGAAAAATGAAACAGTGAACAGAAGAAACAATTTGACAATAGTGTTACTCAATTCCTCTGTTTCCTCATTAGCTCAGACATTTATAGAGTGATCCTGGAGGACAATGGGGCTTCCTCAGCTGATGGTAACAAGTAGGTCAGAGTGGAGAGGGCTAGGCTGTTACCATGACAGCAAGGTCATGGTTTCCACGTGACTGGAACTTGGGAGTTTGGTGAGGTAGTGAAACAGAAAGTTTACAGCCAAATAGACTAAGTCAGCAAATGCTTTAAAAGGATGGTATGAGAGAAAAAAACAAAACCAAACAAAACTGAATGGATGGTTAGGAATTAAGTGAGGAAGCATTTTATACAAATATTTTGGGAAATTTTATATGTGAAAACAGATACTCTCTTTTGAGAATATATATGAAAATCTTGAGAAATGCACATATATACAATATTTATATAATCTAAAGTAGGAGTATTGATTTCTCGAGGTTTTGGGGTTCTTGGAACTGAGATCAGAACAGTTTCCTAGAAAATGAGAGACCCATGAGCTATCTGATGTAGGGAAGGTTCCACATTTAGAACATGCTAGCTATAGTGTAGTGCATAATTTAATGAGGAAGATGACAAGGTGTAGGAGGAAACTTGTCTGAAACGTGTGTGTGTGTGTGTGTGTGTGTGTGCGTGTGTGCATGTGCGTGTGTGTGTGTGTGTACTTGTCTGTGCATGTGGAGACCAGAGGTTGACACTGGCACGTCAGCTTCTTTAGTCCAATTTTCTGCTTCATTTTCTGAGACAGAGTTTCTTCACTGAACCAGGAGCTCACTGTTTTGACTAAATTATCCAGGCACCGAGCCCTGGCATCCACGGGCCTCCACCATCTGTATCGGAATTACAGAGGCATACGGAGCCATGCCTGGCTTTCACATGGGCACTGAGGACCAAACTCAGGTTTGTAAGCATATGTAGGCAAGCACTTTGCCTACTGAGCTCTCTCTCCAGCCCAAGGGCATGCCTTAAAAAGAAAATAAAATTGATGAGGAATGCAGACGTTGGCAGATAAAGAGAATATCATGGGCACTTTATTTTTCGAAACTGCCAAACATTTTAATAGACATGATATTTCGTGAATAAAGTGGTGTGGTTTATGTAGCTAGTGGTCTTTTAAAGTGAACTGGCTCCTACATGAGTCAGACAATGCATGAGCCTGAATCAACGGTTAATGTTTACTGAGAAAGAACTCTCTACTAAGTGGTCCAGGGCTCTGTCCACAGACGAGACATTTATTATCAGAATTATGAGGGGTGGTGGTGCTGATGAAGGTGGTATCAGGGCAGGGATTAGAACAGATTCAGACATTTAGAACATGACACTGGGTAGTGGCTGCGAGAATGGGGGTTGGCACTGGGTCAACGGGAACTGGCATTCAGCCTGGTATGGCGTCTTTCTCTGTTGCTTGCCTAAACTATTTTTGGCAGTAATGGTACAATCATAAGCATTCTGTAGGCCTATTCTGAGAGTTAAAAAGAAGGATAACATATATAATTTGATTCGTAACAGCACCAAATTAGCTATTTTGATGATGATTATTGGAATTAAGACATGATGGAGGTAATCCGGATAAGACAGGCTTTTTGATGTGCTCAAGAATTTTTTAAAAAGTTTGGGATACTAACCTGAAATGACTGAGGAAAAAAAAAACCAATAAAAGTAATTAAGAAATTCCTACATATTAAGACTGAAAATTGCCAAACAATCTGGTGCATACTACAATACTAACATCACTACCATCCGGGAGGCTAAACCAGGAGGACAGCAAGTTGTGGGCAGCCTGGTTACACACTGAACCTGTCTCAAAATTCAAAACAAAACAAAACCTTGAAATAAATTAGTCAAACAATTGTGATTTTGAAAAAAAAAACTAGCTCAGTAGATGCATATATGTAAAAATAAAATCAACTGGGGGAATTAGTTATTTGATTTTCTGTGGTTGGGTTCTGAAGATCTCAGGTAGTTTGGGCTATATTAATGCATATCGTTAGAAATGGTGGTTTTACTGCCTTTTGTCTAGAGTGTGCTTTGTGCTATAGCTAATGAGGGAGCATGGAACACTTCAGTAGTAAACTCTAATTTAGGGCTCTCTCTCTCTCTCTCTCTCTCTCTCTCTCTCTCTCTCTCTCCCTCCCTCCCTCCCTCCCTCTCTCTCTCTCTCACTGCCCCCGACATTTTCTGCCCTTGCTGTGTCATGTACTGACCACTAGAGGCAGTAATTATCCCTGTGGATTTAATCAACAAGGCCATGAAAGCAGAAACACATGAGATAAATATTTACAGAAAACCCTTTTACCTTAACAGATCTACAATGTACAATTCTAATTCCCTCATAGGGTTGTACTTTGCAATGAATAGAGCATTTTGCATTTTACTTTATATTTTACATATTTTTTGTCATTACAGTCTGGTTCATATATCGTTTCCACCAGCTACGTACAAACCTTTGTCAAACATTAGGCCATTTCTAGTTGCTAATCTAA